GCTAGCATTTCTCATTTTCTCACCGCCGCTTTGAATTTCCATGTTTTTCTTCCAACGAATTTTCAATAACTCGCTCTAGCTCTTTCTCTGTTATCCACATTAGTGTACACATAAAAAATAGCGCCGAAAAAGACACGACTTTTTTCTTTCTAAAAGTCCATGTGATTTCCTTCCAAATAAAACCTTGAGTTGCATTTGGGTTCCCATACCTGTTTATTGAGTTATTTTACATTGGTATGCCTGTGGTGCGGACGGACGGTCGCTCGCTCGGTGTACGGTCACGTGATTACCAAATTTTCTGGGATGGGTAGATTACCACATTTCCTTAGCTATGGGGCTCCACCCACACGCGCGCTTTGCGCGCGGGTGGAGCTCCACTAAAAATCTTGCCTCTTGGCAATCCATATAATGTATGTCCACAAACGGAACACAGCCATTTAGCGCTGTAGCTAGTAGCATTTGCTTTCTTATGCTAAGACTTCCAAGTGGCTGTTCTCTCTATCTTGCTAATTGCCAACATGATATAATTTAGTTCTCTTTTTCCCCCAGAGCACTAATTAAGATTGATTGTTGTTGATTGTAGTTGTTGAAGAAATATAAAGGCAACAATGTTAAGAATTATTGATGAGTTATTGTATTGTCAGGAAGCCATAATTAGGAAGAATATTGAGCAGCATCATAAACACCTTACTACCTGTATTTCATGTACTGGCTAAACTACAGAAGACAGGGTCATTTATTACTATATTACTAAATCACAAAAGCATTTGTTGTCTATTGACTCGTTCTTCGAAGCCTTCCTACAACTGGACAAGGCGGAACTGAGTGACCCTGTATTCTGTACTGTAGTTACTTCCATGAACTTGTGCATGTAGTCAATGGCAGAACTAAAAAAAATCATCATCTTCACTTAAACCTGTTGCATACTGGAAAATTGGATTGTGCAATACAGTTCACCTGAAATTAAATTTGAATGCTTTAATTAGTAGGTCGGTTATGAGTTGGGAAGGTACTTATTTTTTCTTCATCTACAAGTGCAATAAGCACACGTTATGTTTCTTGTGTTCTTTCATTAACCCTTTAATGAAAAAAAAAGCTGTTATTGCAACATTTTATCATTCTATCTGTCAAAACTGTGAACAAAATCCTGTGATGTTACTATTCAAATGAAAGGTCTTTGGTAGAACTTTTGCATGCATGTGGTACCAAAGCTGTCATTAAGGACCATAACCCATAACACCTGTTACGGCTGAGCTCACTTGATGTTACAGGTGATCAGAGTGGAAAGCAAAAGCAGTGCTGTGGCAAGGTTAGATTTATTGGGGGGGCCAATCACGAGCACCGAAGACACGAGCTTCTAGAGGGGTCCAGGGGCATGCTCCCCCGTAAGATTTTTTAAATATAGGGTCTTTGAAATAGCACTTTCAGCCTTCCGAGAGCATGATTTTCCTTTGTTGAAGCCATAAAGAAATAATTTTCATGCTTTATCGAACCGAAATGAACACAGTGAACAGAAGAGCAGCATAAAGAGCATGGCCACTGACCAAATTAAACGTGCCTGTCAAAATTATTGGGGGGCCTAGGCCCCTCCCCATGCTACATCACTGGAAAAGTGGCACTATAAAGTTTTGTGAGATGTTACAGGTGAAACATCATTTGCTATGGTTGCTTCAAAACTTAATTACAGCCTTGTTGGTACTGTTTATTTCTTACTAGGGTTCACAAAATGAAATTTGTTTAAATTTTTTGTAGCTTTTTTTCGTTTGCCCACTATTAGAAAGAAAGGGTTAAATCTGAATTAAATTATGTATTGAGATTATTTTCTTTCAGACTATTGTGCACAGCACCATCCAAGTCACCATCATTCGAAGTCAGTGAAGAACAAAGTGAGTTCAGACTTACTATTACTCTGTTCTTTACCATTACTGTACTCTTAAGTCCAGTCCTTACTAGTATCACAAGCATTTAAGATTCCCTGTACACAGGGTCAAAGTTTTGTTCTACATGTAAGGCAAGTTTAAAAAAGCCAGCATTGACTGCATTATTACAAGGAAGTTTTTGTCTGTTTCAGGTATTGGGACCTCATATTCCAAGAATGGGTAAGTTAATTGATGTTATATAGTTACTGTAGTGAATATATGTTACAATGAAGTGTAAGCTTTACTGTCATATACACTGTTGTTGAGATTAATTTAGAAAGAAATTTACAAAGCATAAG